TATATATATATATATATATATAACATAATAAATAATTTAATTTATAATATAAATGTATAATATGACAGCAAGAAATTGATTCATTTGGCTTTTGTTTTTCTACCTGCTGGAGAGGATAAGCTAAGATCATGGTGTGCTCATTTGCTTGGTCTGCAATAAGAATCTAACATGGGATCCAAATAAAACTTGATCTAATCAAGCCATTATGTTTCTCACAGTGCTCAATCAGATGTTCCCATTGCCCACCAAACAGTTTTACCGCCTTGTGCTCCTCAGCAGCTGACATAAAGTGGCATGTTGCCTTCTTAAATTTTTATTTTACATATTTTGTCTAATCTGTATTTGGAAATAGTAGCCACTATGGAAGATATCTGGCAAGTAGCTATTGTCATAAATAGCTTTTGACAGATGTCTCCTGTATGAATTTGTCTAAACCCATTTTATGTCAAATAAGTCAATACCCATCATCACGCATTTGGCAGACACACAGTTTCACAGATTTAATTCTATTGCCCCAGTGAGTTCCACAGATTTAATTATGCTGCATGTGAAAAAATGCAATGTTTCATCATGAAAACAAAACCTTTCAAGCCCTCATCTGCACAAACAGGGGACTTTACCTCTGGCTGACAAATACAGGATATATTATTTTGTTTGTATAAGAAGATGAAGTCTTCATTTGGCCAGCCAGAGGTTGCTAGTTGTTAACATGATACCTGCAGCTGAGCCCTTCATCCAGATGTGATTCACTCAGCTTTTTCCCCATTATCACTTTGACAAGTTTACATTAGAAGGAGAGGCAGTATTACTGCAGACAAGAACAGAGTATACATTCATAACTAAATAATGAAGCTCATTTCCATAAGGTTTGTGATGGAAACAACCTATACAGCTTTGAAAAGGAATGAGAGAAGTTCATGGAGGATAAAGCTATAGTTCAGAATATTAGTGGGCCATAAATAGTGGAGGAAGGCTAATGCCTGCCTCCTGCTTATAGGCTTCCCTATGGTTGGCCATGGTTGGAGGCCACAGATTCAAGAAAGACCTTTTGCTTGACCCTCTTGATCTCCTTCTGCCCTCTTCAAATAGGGATTTTCAATTTCTACAGATTGGACTGGGAGCAAAAGCATAATCAGGAAGGAAAATGTTGCTAGCATCAAGACAACTTGATTCAGTTTTATTCTAGAAGTCCAATAGGTCCAATGTTGCCCCATGCGCTGCAGTAATTTCTGCCTCCTGAACTAGCTTCCTAAGACATAACTTTTCCTTGTGGCGGTAGGGCATGTGCTCGAAACATGTCCTAGCACTCTGAGATCTAGTACCTAAGGTTGGTCACAAATGCCTATCAGAATGGACCACCAGGTTTGTGGATAGGGAAATGGGTCAGTGATTTTATCCACATTTTTCCACGAGAAGAAGAAATTCTCCAAAGAAGGGTCCAACGGCAGGATCTCCTCAGATATCATGGCAGACATTCTGGTGAAAAAGTCAGTGGAAGCAGATTCCTTCTAAGATCTTCCCTTGGGGTTTATGGAAACATGGAAAGCCTGGGAGGCTACAGACAGCTGGAGAAGGGATTGTCCAAGGAAAGCCTTCATAACTAAATCAATGCAGGAATACCAAATACTACTTGGAATGATTGATCAGAAATTCTTTTTTCCTTTGGACAATATTTTAAAGGAAATCCTCTCTCTTTAAAAGGTATGACAGCTGGTATTAAAAATGAAGGGTGGTTTCCCTGACTGGCACTCATTCTACGAATATCTAGAAATTCTTATTTTGGAAGGGGACCAGAATTATGAGAATCTTTTCTTAGCCTCGAAATAACAACAAAAACTATCATCGCCATCTGAGATATTAAAATGTCAGTGGCCCAGATGTTAGTGGCCCAAGAGTCTTCTGGCATGCTATAGGCATGAGCTGCAGAGAGACAACAGTTCTTTTTTATAGACCTTAAATCTTTTACAGTTCTCCAAGGGGAACATTAACTGGGAAATGCAACAGTGTCTCCTTACAGCTGGCGAGTTTATATAGCATCCCTCCTCCAAAGCTGATTCCTTCCAAATCTTGTAAGTGCCAATGTTGATGGCTGGAAAGACGTTGCATCCAAAGTTCCAGGTTTTGTCAAGGGGAATATAAAATAAAATCAAGAGAAGAACTGGTGGGTGGAAGAGGGATATAGTTGTCAATGGCTCTCTTATCTACAATTATTAGAAAGATTTAAGGTAGATGAAAGAATTTATGGTTTTGAACATTGTAAGACTGAGTGTGAAATAGAATTGTGTATAAGTGATGAACATGTAATTGCTAAACTATTATAAAAATAAATTATATAAAATGTTATTGACATCTGAAACAGAAGAAGTGAAAGAATGTACGATAAAGTGGGCTAAGAATTTTGGTTATAATATACAGATGGAACCATGGGAAAATATGTGGCTGAAAGGATTGAAATCTACACTATACTACTGTATAATCTTAAAAAGATTTTTTATAAAATAATATACCATTGGTATATGTCACCAGAGAACTAGTCTAGAATGTATATAGGCGTTTCAGATTTATGTTGGAAATGTGAATAACAAGAAGGGGCATTTTATCATGTTTGGTGAACATGTAAAAAAGCTAGAAAATTCTGGATTCAAATACATACACTGATTCAGAGGAATTTAAAGATTAATATACCATTGAGACCAGAGGTTTTCCTTTTGGGATTGATATTTGTTTGTTGGGATTTTTCCAACAAACGGTTGGAAAAAAAGTCATGGAACTTTGTTTTTGTATATAACTGCAGCCAGATTGCTATATGCACAAAGATGGAAAGATCTGGCACTACCCACAATGGAAGAATGGTTGGTGAAGATGATGGAA